ATCTTTAGTACAACACGCAACCACACTGAGAGCTCCACACTAGCCGGTATAGGCGAGAACCGACGGCGTCACGGTCGCCGGAGTGGACGCACTGCACACACACTGTGACCGTGTCGTTGGTGTGACAGTGAGCGACACAATCGTCGGCGCCGCGCTATCGCGGCGCCCCGCAGGCTACACGCCTCAGGCGCACCCCTGAACGCGCCATGGGCGCGCAGATACACCGCAGCGCCGTGGAGAATCCACACCTGGCCGGTCCGAGGCCCCGTCGCTCCTGGGCCTCCAGGCGGCTCTGAAAAAAGAAAGCTTTGGCGCCCACATCGTCCTTCCAAAATCCTGCTCGTGCAGGTGGGAACCCTGTCCTCCTCCCCTATCCCTCGTTTGCCTGTCTGTTTTCTTTTTTCTTTCTGTCCTCTTTTCGTGTGGGCAGCAAAATGCAGGTCGCCTCATCTCTTTCCCGCCGCTTGCCGCCCCTCTCCCAGCCTTTGCCGGCGACGGGATCACGAACCTGTGCTCAGTTCCGTCTTCCCCCCCCCCCCCCCCGGAGCAGCAGAGGCTCCGTGGGGTCGAAAAGGCCGACGCTGGGAGTCGCAATCGTCAAACCATCGCAGCACCACGCGGTCCGCACGTACCGCCCACATCCCCTCCACCGCTGAGAAGGCGCAGATCGACCGCCGGGCCGCGTAGTCGTCGTTAAGGAGCGGTTTTTGGAGCCGTACGAAGAGGTCCCAGACGGGCGAACATGCGGTTTTTCGACGACCACACGCGATGTGGTATCTGCTTTTTGCTAAAAACGGGCCGCCTAGTGCAGCATCTTTAGTACAACACGCAACCACACTGAGAGCTCCACACTAGCCGGTATAGGCGAGAACCGACGGCGTCACGGTCGCCGGAGTGGACGCACTGCACACACACTGTGACCGTGTCGTTGGTGTGACAGTGAGCGACACAATCGTCGGCGCCGCGCTATCGCGGCGCCCCGCAGGCTACACGCCTCAGGCGCACCCCTGAACGCGCCATGGGCGCGCAGATACACCGCAGCGCCGTGGAGAATCCACACCTGGCCGGTCCGAGGCCCCGTCGCTCCTGGGCCTCCAGGCGGCTCTGAAAAAAGAAAGCTTTGGCGCCCACATCGTCCTTCCAAAATCCTGCTCGTGCAGGTGGGAACCCTGTCCTCCTCCCCTATCCCTCGTTTGCCTGTCTGTTTTCTTTTTTCTTTCTGTCCTCTTTTCGTGTGGGCAGCAAAATGCAGGTCGCCTCATCTCTTTCCCGCCGCTTGCCGCCCCTCTCCCAGCCTTTGCCGGCGACGGGATCACGAACCTGTGCTCAGTTCCGTCTTCCCCCCCCCCCCCCGCCCTCCTGTGGTAGGCCGTCCCGTGCTGGCGGGAAGAGGCTCGCCGAGCCATCGGCGACGTCCTGGCGAGCTCATGGGCCCCCAAAAGGTCGCACCGGCCCGTGACTCCGCCGTCGGCTCCGCCGCGAGCGGCGACGGTGAGGCCGCCGGGGCTCGCCTATACCGGCTAGTGTGGAGCTATCAGTGTGGTTGCGTGTTGTACTAGTGATGTCGCACTAGGCGGCCCGTTTTTAGTAAAAAGCAGATACCACATCGCGTGTGGTCGTCGAAAAACCGCATGTTCGCCCGTCTGGGACCTCTTCGTACGGCTCCAAAAACCGCTCCTTAACGACGACTACGCGGCCCGGCGGTCGATCTGCGCCTTCTCAGCGGTGGAGGGGATGTGGGCGGTACGTGCGGACCGCGTGGTGCTGCGATGGTTTGACGAGTGGGACTCCCAGCGTCGACTTTGCGACCCCACGGAGCCTCTGCTGCTCCGGGGGGGGGGGGGGTCTGCAGACCACCCGGCCGACCTTCAGAGTCGCAGTGCTCCTCAAATACCGCTCAAACGCCCACGATCTTGTGGAGGGGACATATGCTGATGATCCTGGCCCGATTGGTTCGCTCAGAAAGCTTCTGGGCGGTCGTTAAGGTTCGCTCCCCGCACACCGGCCCCGGAATAAGGTAAGGTAAGCCGAGACGAGCCTCAACTCTCCCGCGCCGCGTCGCCCCCCGCGAGCGGCTGGCGCATCGAATCTGCCGGCGCCGCATCCCCAACCACCGCCCCCGCCACCGCTGCCAGC